AAACATATGTGCACCCAAATACGTAATAAAAACTTTGGGAGGATATCAAGGGAGGGATTGATAGCAATACAGTCATAATAGGGGACTTTAATACCCCATTATCACCATTGGACAAATCCTCTAAACAAAAAATCAGCAAAGAAACACCAATCCTAAATGATGCACTAGATCAGATGGAATTAATTGACATCTTCAGAACATTTCACCCCAAAGCCACAGAATATACGTTCTTCTCAAGTGCAAATGGGTCATTTTCAAAGATAGACCATATATCAGGGGTGGGCAAACTTTTTGACTTGAGGGCCACAATGGGTTCTTAAACTGGACCGGAGGGCCGGAACAAAAGCATGGATGGAGTGTTTGTGTGAACTAATATAAATTCAAAGTAAACATCATTACATAAAAGGGTACGGTCTTTTTTTTTTTTTTTTTTTTTTTTTTTAGTTTTATTCATTTCAAACAGGCCAGATCTGGCCCGTGGGCCGTAGTTTGCCCACAGCTGCCATATATTGTCAAAGTCTCTTCAAATTCAAGAAGATAGAAATCATATCAAGCACCATCTTCAGACCACAATGGCATAAAACTAGAAGTCAACTACAATAAAAACAATAAAAAAATCAAACACCTGGAGGTTAAATACCATGCTATTAAACAATGACTGGGTTACCAGAGAGATCAAAGAAGAAATAAAAAGCATCATGGCAACAAACGACATTGAAAACACAATGATCCAAAATCTATGGGACACAGTGAAAGCAATCTTGAGAGGGAAGTTCATAGCTCTACAGGCCTGCCTCAAGAAACAAGAAATAATGGTAATAAATTATCTAACCCTACAACTCAAAGAGTTAGAAAGAGAGCAACAAGGAAAGCCAGTGTAAGCAGAAAGAAGGAAATAATAAATATCAGAGTGGAGATAAACGACAGAGACAAAAAAAATGCAAAAGATCAACAAAACCAAGAGCTGGTTGTTTGAAAGGATAAACAAGATTGATGAACCTCTAGCCAGGCTCACCAAGAAGCAAAGAGAGAGGACTCAAATAAACAAAATCAGAAATGAAAGAGGTGAAATAACAACCGATCCCACAGAAACACAAACGATTATGAAAAAATACTATGAACAACTCTATTCCAACAAAATGGACAACCTAGATGAATGGACATATTCTTAGAAAAATGCAAGCTCCAAAAACTCAACCAAGAAGAGTCAAAAAACCTGAATAGGTTGATAACTAACGAAGAAATTGAAACAGCCATCAAAAATCTTCCAGCAAACAAAAGCCCTGGTCCAGACGGCTTTACAGGGGAGTTCAAATAAGATGGCATTCAAACAAGAACTAAAACCTATCCTCCTCAAACTATTCTAAAAAATTCAAGAGGAAGGCACACTTCCAAGCTCTTTCTATGAAGCCAGCATTACCCCAATCCCCAAACCAGATAAAGACACCACAAAAAGAGACCTACAGGCCAATATTCTTGATGAACAATAGATACTAAAATCCTCAACAAAATCCTAGCAAATCGGATTCAGCAATACATTAGAAAGATCATACACGATGACCAAGTGGGATTTATTCTGGGGATGCAAGGATGGTTCAACATCTGCAAATCAATAAACATAATACATCACATAAACAAACTGAGACAAAAACCACATAATCATATAAATTGATGCAGAAAAAGCATTTGAAAAATCCAACACCCTTTCTTGATAAAAACTCTCAGCAAAGTGGGAATAGAGGGGTCATACTTCAACATAATAAAAGCCATATATGACAAACCTACAGCCAACATCATACTCAATGGGCAAAAACTAAATCCATTTTATCTAAGAACAGAAACAAGACAAGGATGCCCACTTTCACCACTCTTACTTGATATAGTACTAGAAGTACTAGACATAGTGATCAGACAAGAAGAAAAAATAAAAGGCATCCAAATTGGAAAAGAAGAAGTAAAACTGTCCTTATTTGCAGACGACATGATATTATACATAGAAAACCCCAAAGACTCCATCAAAAAACTACTAGACCTAATAAATGAATTTGGCAATGTAGCAGGATACAAAATTAACACCCAGAAATCTATGGCCTTTTTTACGTCAATAATGAACTCACAGAAAGAGAAATGAAAAGAACAATCCCATTTACCATTGCACCAAAAAAATTAAGATACCTAGGAGTAAACTTAACCAAGGATGTAAAAGACCTGTACTCGGAAAATGACAGGACATTGAAAAAAGAGATAGAGGAAGACATAAACAAATGGAAGAACATACCATGTTCATGGATTGGTAGAAACAACATCATTAAAATGTCCATACTACCTAAAGCAATCTATATATTCAATGCAATACCTATTAAAGTACCAATGGCATATTTCAAAGATCTAGAACAAACTCTCCAAAAATTCATCTGGAATAAAAAAAGGCCCCAAATAGCCACAGCTATCCTGAGAAAGAAGAACAAAGTTTGAGGGATCACAATACCAGACATCAAACTATATTACCAAGCCACGATTCTCAAAACTGCCTGGTACTGGCACAAGAACAGACATATAGACCAATGGAACAAAATAGAGGACTCAAAAATTGACCCAAGCCATTATACTCAATTAATATTCGACAAAGGAGGCAAGAGCATACAATGGAGTCAAAACAGCCTCTTTAATAAATGGTGCTGGGAAACTTGGTCAGATACATGCAAAAAAATGAAACTAGATCACCAACTTACATCATACACAAAAACAAACTCAAAATGGCTAAAGGACTTGAATGTAAGATAGGAAACCATAAAAATCCTACAAGACTCCATAAGCAGCAAAATAGCAGTCATATGTTGTGGCAATATCTTTACAGACACATATCCTAGGGCAAGAGATAATATTGAGAAAATAAACAAATGGGATTACATCAAAATAAAAAGCTTCTGCACAGCAAAAGAAACTATCAACAAAACAACAAGAAAGCCCACTGCATGGGAGAACACATTTGCCAATGTTATGTCCAATAAGGGTTTAATCTCCAATATTTACAGGGAACTCATACAACTCAACAAAAGAAAAATAAACAATCCAATAAAAAAAATGGGCAAAGGACCTAAATAGAATCTTTTCAAAAGAGGACACTCAGAAAGCCAAGAGACACATGAAAACATGCTCAAAGTCACTAATCATCCGAGAGATGCAAATAAAAACAATAATTAGGTACCACCTCACACCTGTCAGAATGGCTATCATCAAAAAATCAACAAATGACAAGTGCTGGAGAGGATGTGGAGAAAAAGGAACACTCGTGCACTGCTGGTGGGAATGTAGACTAGTGCAGCCACTATGGAAGACAGTATGGCGTTTCCTCAAAAATTTAAAAATGCAACTGCCATTTGACCCAGTAATATAGCTTCTAGGAATAAATCCCAAGAAAACAGAAACACCAATCAGAAAGGATATATGCACCCCTATGTTCATAGCAGCAAAATCTGCAATAGCCAAGATTTGGAAACAGCCTAAATGCCCTTCAACAGATGAGTGGATTAGAAAACCATGGTATATCTACACAATGGAATACTATGCTGCTGTAAAAAAGAAGGAATTCTTACCATTTGCAGCAGCATGGATGGAACTGGAGAGCATTATGCTAAGTGAAATAAGCCAGGAAGTGAAAGAAAAACACCACATGATCTCACTCATTTATGGATAATAAAGAACATTATAACCTAATGAACTAAAAGATAGATACAGAGGCAGAGAAGCATGGAACAGACGGTCAAATTACAGTGGGAAGGCTGGGGAGTGTTGGCGGGGGGGGGGGGGGATGCATGCATATAAGCATAACCAACGGACACAAGAAACTGGGGCGGGGTGGTAAGGGCATGTGCCGGGGGGTAGGGGAGGCCGGGGGAAGGTCAATGGGGCAAAAAAGGAGACATTTGTACTACTACCTGTAATACTTTAAACAAGAAAATAAAATTTTAAAAAAATCAATACACTGTAAAAATAAATAAAATAAAATAAACCAATCAATTCAGGAGAAATGTGTCCTTTGTCTTATGTACCCTGGAACTCTTATAATAGATCATGTTTTGTTCTTTGCATTTGCCTCAAGGAATTAGAGCCAACTTTTTCTTACTTCAAGAACTATAGGAGGCCATGTGTTTCCCTGCCACTATTTCTTTATCCCAATTTTATTATTTGTATTATAAATTGGCTCAAAAATGTCTTCAAATCCAAATGGAACAAGATGAGAGAGTGTTGTATTTTATGCCTTAAAATATTGAGAGAAATGGTCATAAGATGGCTGAAAAAAATTTAACAACTACTACTGGGTGCTTAATATAAACCAGATACTGCTCCAGGCACTTTTAACCTGATTTTTGAACAGTGAGAAAAAGGTATTATAAAGTCTACAAATGATAAATGGAAGTGGAGAGGGGTTAAATAAATTACCTAAGCTCACAAAGCTAACATGTGCAGGGCCAGGCTTGAATGATTATAAAGACACATTATACACAAGGTCTGATCAAATTAAAGACTATGCTATGCTTCAAAAAGAAAAAGAATTCTAGCATTGTAAAGTACCTTCCTTTGTTTCTAACAGTACTTGAGAAATTTTTTAATTTCAATTTATATGCACAAAAGAAGACAAGTCACTTGGCACTAATTTTACATTAGTATTTAAAAAATAATAAACTTTAACAAAGTCAACATTTAATCATTCCCAAAGGAGAACTAGAAAAATCACAATAAAACTTAAATTCCAAATAGCAGACATAAATAAAATATTAATATTCATGATAAAGTTAATGAGCAAAGATTTGGGTCAAAAGAAAAAAATTAGACATATTATTCCAATTAGCACTACATATAACTTGAAATATTTTTTGCCGCACCAAAAAAAAGATCAGGCCAAAAAAAAGAAGAAAAAGGTTTTTGAGGGGAAGGAGGGGAGAATAAAGGGGAACTTATGACTCACAATTAATAAGAGGATAGAAAATTAGACTCACCTGCTCAAGTCACTTTTTCCATGGTGATGATAGCGGTCAGGATGACTGAGGGGGTAATGTTCCTGTCCACTCCACCTCTGGGGTGACCTTTTCCAAAATCCTTCCTGAGACTGCCGAACATTTCTGTCTGATCGATCAAAGCGATTCATATTGTCACACTCCACTAGGCAGATTCAAAAGCAAAACACTATAAACATGTACACATGCTACAAAAGTTAACTACTTAGAGCTTGATCATTAATTGCTGCTGAAAATATAAAATTCTAAAAAATACCAATCATTTATGTTAGCTAATCACAAAATCAAGATTTCCAGAAAAAAACAAAAAACTAGTTCTTTTGGTAGCAATTAAGTTTATATCATCCAAAACTAAAGTAAATTATAAAACTTTCCTATCACAGTCACTAAAAGTAATAATTAATGGTCCCACTGTTTCAAAACAGCAATTGATATTTGAAATCAGCATTATACGTCTTAAACACCAGTTTTAAGTGGTTTTCATCATTGTCACTAGTTGGTTCTGACTTCAGAATAAAATGACAAGAAAAAGTATTTAAGGCTAGTAGGGAATTCATTCCTTAAAATGAATGTCACAATATTCCTAATTTCAAAAAGCTCAAATTAACTCTTCATCACAAACAAATCCTATATTTGTAATTAAGCTCACAGTTTTAGAAAGACCCTTCAATCGCCTGCAGGAGAGGCTGTCCGAAATGTCTAAAATGCCACTGAAAACAAAGCCAGTCCTTTGCAGCAACAAACAGTACACTCCCTGATATCCAAGTGCCACAAAAACACGAAAAGAATCTCTTTGAAACACCAAGCTTCTCCTGCACTTACCGGAACACTGTTTCCTCACAGATCTGAGCACTGGCTGAGAGAGTTACTCTGTACAACGGAGACATTGTGTCGCCTGCTGCCTACTCAGACATAGTTGCACCCGGGCAGACAAGCAGGCCTTCCTTCCTGCTCAATCCCAGCCTCCCTGTGGGAAGCAAGCCCAGTTTACCCCGTGACTCCATCTTCCCTCCAGCTTACATAGCTACTGAGTTAGGACTGTTACTAAAAATACAACTCAACACTCAATCAAGCCAGGAACAGGACAGGATTCTCTAGTCTGAGAATTACTACATGAGAAAGTTCAAATCCGGCATGTTCAGAACTCCTTGTGATAAAAAACAAAACAAAACAAAAACAAACCCTAAAAAATAAATGTAATCCCCAATTTAAAAACAACAACTCACTACAGTATTTAAATGATTGTTTTCCCTTAACCTAAAACTTGACTTAGAAATATGGAGAGTATCCCATTATACTACACCAGATAAAAAACACTTTCCCATTCCAAAGGAAAAATGGTGTAATTCAATTCTCATATACATTGAACTCACTGTAACATGTCTTCTAAATGAGTAACATTTTATTTTTTTAAATATATTTTTATTGATTTCATAGAGGAAGGGAGAGAGAGAGATAGAAACATCAATGATGAGAGAGAGTCATTGATCGGCTACTTCCTGCACGCCCACACTGGGATCCAGCCCACAACCCAGGCATGTGCCCTGATGGGAATCGAACCATGACCTCCTGGTTCATAGGTCAATGCTCAATAATGGAGCCATGCTGGCCAGGCTAAGATTTTAAAAGACACTGAAATTTCGTTTAACTTCATTAGAGGAATAAATTTGGGGGGGGGGGGGGGACTATGTTTTATGGTATTTTAAAATACTTTTTTTATAATACATTTTTGTTGTTGTTGTTAATCCTTACCCAAGGATATTTTCCCATTGATTTTTAGGAAGAGTGGAAGAGGGAAAGACAGAGAGAAACATCGATATGAGAGAAACACATTGATTGGTTGTCTCCTGCATGGGCCCTGATCAGGGCACGGACCAGGGAGGAGCCTGCAACCAAGGTATGTGCCCTTGATCAGAATTGAACCTGGGACCCTTTGGTTCTCCGGCTGACACTCTATCCACTGAACCAAACCGGCTAGGGCTGATAAAACTTTTAAAGGCAGTTTACATTTAAAATAATTTCATCAATTTATTTTGTTCATTAGATTCCACATATGAGTGAGATCATGTGATACTTGTCTTTCTCTGACTGGCTTATTTCACTTAGCATAATACTCTCCAGGTCCCTCCATGCTGCCACAAAAGGTAAGATTCAGAGACGTTGAAGCATGCAACAGACTGACATATTTCAGAGGTAAGGGGGATGGGGGCAAGAAGAGATTAGCCAATGAACTTATATGCAACTATGCACAGCCCCTGGACAGACAATAGTGCTAGGAAGGCCGTGTCACTTTATTGCGATAAATTAAAATCTACTTTTAAGTTCAATTCTAGAAAACTAGGCTGTCAGATAAATAAAAGCATGGTGCTCTATATATCTGAGGGATGATCTATATCTACTTTTAAATGTTCTGAATTTGTATTTTTCTTAATCCAGGCAGGTAAAATTCACTCACTCCCCACACAAGAAATTGTTTGAATAAGAACCTGACATGTAAACATCAACAACACAGAATAACAAGTAGCAAACAAACCAGGCAAACAGGTCAGGAGACAGGGTTCAATACCGCGGGAAATTAAATGCAGAAATATATAGATGTGCTGCTTTTCAGTTTGCTCAAAGTGTTGATACTACACACAGCCTTCAAATTAAAGCACCTTTACTGAAATATGAACTCAAACATGGGCATAATGGCAACTAAATACTGGAAAGCAACATCTGTCATGACCACAAATGACAGCTGGTAGAAACGGAGACAGAGGTGAGTCCGCGCCAAGACTGTGTAGGAAGGTCCTGCTGACACTTCTAGCTGAGGCACCCATCAATCACATGTTTATTCACTTTACAATGTTATTAAGGAGATAATCTGAAATAACAATCAGTGGTGGTTTCTTAGAAAAGGTTAAAAATTCTCTAACAGAATTGAAGAAATAATATAGAAAGAAAATAAAATTACAAAATGGAGATAACCCAAAATCACTTCCCAGAGCCAAGAAGAAACAGGACAAAAAAGACTAAGGAAGGAAACAAATCCGTCTCAATGTGTCACAACAGAAAATGATGGGATAAACCTAAAGGAATCCTAGTTTGAAAAAGTTTTAACCCAGTATGCTGATCAAAACTATCTATACACAGCAGATTGGGCCCTAACTATGAGTGTAGGACTAGAGAAAAAAGGCCTTCTGAAGGTTTCCAGCTCCAAATGTAAAAGGCAGCAGCTTTAATATGTTGTTTTGTTTGTTTATTTTTACTATGAATAGGAGACAGAGAGATACTCCCAAGACTTTTACCCTCTGAAGAGGAAAAGAGGGTCTTGGTCTTGCACAGCTAACTGCAAGGGAAGGCATGTGGGGGTGCCAGTGTCTAACACTCATCATACCCATTTCTTCTGATTTTAATAAAGGAACACCAAAAGTTACCTAGATCACTTCTCCGGTAGCTTGTCCTAAGAAGGTAATGGAAAACACAGTTAGTATTTCCATCTGTGACTAACAATTGGCTATGAAGATGGTGGGAAGAAATTACACAACACGAAGCCTGAAAAATATGTTCTCAGTGGGAAGTTTTACAATCTGATCAGGAAAGCTTTTAACTGAAATCTGGCTTAAAATTAGAAAGGCTTCTGTAAAATAAAAATTCATGAACCTTGTTATTACTAAACACAATTAGTACTCAAACATAGAAATAAATTTCCAGAAAAAAATACAGTAATGACTGGAAAGTGGTCAAGGACAATACTATTATTCTCATATGACTATACCTCAATAAAAAGTTAACAAAAGTGTGGCCTTAGGAAAAATAACATGAAATAAGTGCAAGTGAATAGGCACCATAACTTGGTGGGGTGGGATTCAGAAAGAAATTAGACATCATTTTCAACACAGATAAGTTTAAAACCAGAGTGAGTAGAGAAAATAACACATGTAAGAAGGGATACATAACAGAAATTTCATAAGATTATTATACTATGAATGTGTCAAATTCTAGGCTTTAATCTATAGGCAATGAGGGATGATTAGAGGTTCTTGAGCAAGAAAATAATGCAATACAATTGTGTTTTTTATGTAAATGTGAATCCGGGGAGGGGGGAAGGGAGGGAGGAGCTACTAAGGGCTCCTAGTTGCTAACTGGGCTCAAATTATAAAAAGCAGAGCCTAGCAGCCATTTGTACACAGAGGCTTCTAATGCCAACTGCACTTTCACAGAGAAGCTATGCTGAAATACCTGCCTTCAGCTGTGTTTCTGTCATCTGAGCTGGCCCTCATAAAGGAGCTTCTGGAATCCCACTTCAACCAATAGGACTGAGACTTTCCCCATCCAATAAGAGCTGCACAGCTCCAGCCAATTAGAGCTGCTCTATTCTGACCAATCAGGACAGTGCCTTTTGGATCAATCAAATTTTGAGGATTTGGAGCCCTCATCTGCATGAGGACAAGCCAATCAGAGACCAAGGGTGGGGACTCCTGTCCATATAGACCAGCTTCCCTGTGGCTCCCCAGCACTTTCCCTTTTCACCTAAGACTGAAGCCTGTATCTCCCTGGTAGAGCTGAAACACCCAAAAATGTCCCCTCAGGGCATAGTTGTCTAGCCAGAGAGGGGCCTGGCCCAGGGCTGTTCTGTAGTTGTGGTGCAGCACAACCGAGCTGTTCCATAGCCATGCTGCTTCCACAGTACCATCTACACTAATAAAAGAGAAACATGGTAATTAGCGTACGACCGCTACCCTTCCCATTGGCTAATCAGCATATCCTTATGTAAATTAACTGTCAGCCAAGATGGCGGCCGGCAGCCAGGCAGCTGGAAGCAAACATGAGGCTTGCTTGCTTCAGTGAAGGAGGACTCCAACATTCCCCGCCTGACTTGCCCGCCTCTGAGCTCGCAGTTTGATACATTCTAACAAATATAGAAGCTAAACAAAACCCCAGAAAGAAGGCCGGGATCTCAGAGCTGGAGTTATACATTGTTTCAATTATAGAACCGAAACAAACCAGATACCTTCTTTCAGCAGCGGAAGCCTCAGAGCTAGAGCCAGAGATAAAGTTGGCCCAGAATAAAATAAAAAGATAAAAAAAAGGAGCGGTTGGGAGCTTCAGTCAATCTCCAGCCTGAAAGCAGCCCTCAGCCCCTCACTCAGACTGGCCAGG